ATATTGCCTTAAATTTTTAACGACAATAATTAAAACAAGAGCTAATTTTTCTAAGGACGGGTATCTTACCTCAGTCGGGAGCAAGGTTTTACTTACGTAATAAAGCGGGAGCTGCCCAACTTCGTCGTCTTCTCTTGTCAAGACTGCGTTGACGGCAATAGTACTGACGACAATAAAAAGCTGCAAAGGTTCATTAGCTTTCGATTTTGACAGGAGGGGTGGCGTCATTAGATATTTCTTTAAATCTTGCAGTGCTTTTTCATGATCGTCGGTCCATTCAAAGCCTTTATTTTTTCTCAAAACATTATAGAAAAGGTGGCATTTGTCCGGCGATCTAGAAATAAAGCGGTTTAATGCTACCACTCGCCCTGTCAATTTCTGGGTTTCTTTAACGTTTTGGGGGGATTGAATGTTTATTAGAGCCCTGACCTGGTCGGGACTGGCCTTAATTCCCCTTTGCGTTACTACATAGCCTAGAAATTTTCCAGCCGATACTCCAAATGAACATTTAGTAGGGTTAAGTTTCATACCGTACTTCCGCAATACCTCAAAGGTCTGTCGGAGGTGGTCGACGTGATCTTCTGTTTTCTTTGACTTTACGAACATGTCGTCAATATACACCTCCATTTTATCTCCTAGCAAGTCTTTGAACATTCTGTTTACCAGCCTTTGATACGTCGAACCTGCATTTTTTAGTCCAAAAGGCATAACTTTATAACAATATATACCTTTATCGGTCATGAAGGTTGTCTTCTCTTGGTCGTCGGGATGCATTAGGATTTGATTGTATCCGGAATAGGCGTCCATAAATGTTAGGAGTTCGTGACCGGCCATCGCATCTACCATGGCGTCGATATGCGACAATGGAAACGGATCTTTCGAGCATGCTTTATTAAGATCGGTGAACTCGATGCACACCCTCCACTTGCCGTTTTTCTTGCTGACGACGACAACATTGGCGAGCCAATCTAGGTATTTGACTTCTCTTATCTTTCCGGTTTTGATCAGCTGCTGCACTTCGTCGTTGATGATTTTATTTCTCTCTGGAGCAAACTTTCGACGCTTATGCTTTATGGGCTTGTGATTTGGATCAACGTTCAGCTTGTGCGAAATGATGCTTGGATCTATACTAGTTATGTCTTCATGGGACCAGGCGAAACAGTCTTTGTTCTCTCGAAGGAAGGCTAGGATGACACTTTTGAGTTCAGGTGCTAGATTGGCTCCCGACACGGATTATTTGGTCAGGGTTTTCTTGGTCTAATGGTATTTCATCGATCTCGAGGTCGTTGGGATTGTCTGGTGTCGGGCCTTGCTGTAATTGATAGCGGTTCTCATGGTAGACTTAAGGGTTGTTTTGTAACAGTGTTTGGCTTCACGGGGTTCTCCATTAATTTCTTAGATTCCCATGGGGTAGGAAATTTAATTGATTGATGGTAGGTAGAAGGGTTAGCTTTTAGTCAGTAGATCTAAGGTCGGCCTACTATGGCATTAAGGGCCTGTTCTCTTCCATTGAAATTCAGTTCAGTTCAGTTCAATTCAGTTCAGTTCAGTTCAGTTCAGCTCTTAATTTACGTCTAATGATATTGCTAATGATATAAAGCCAAATTTCATTCTTTTAAGCTCTTATTACAACGACGACAACAACAACAACAACAACAACAACAACAACAACAACAACAACAACAACAATAATAATAATAATAATAATGATATTAACAACAATAATAATAATAATAATAATAATAATAATATAATAATAATAATAATAATAATCAATAAGTAATAAATAATAATAATAATATTGATCAATAAATAATAATAATAATAATAATAATTGAAATAATAATTGAAATAATAATTGAAATAATAATAATCAATAAATAATAATAATAATCATCAATAAATAATAATAATAATAATAATAATAATTATCAATAAATAATAATAATAATAATAAAAAAAATTAATAATAATAATAATATTATTAATAATAATAATAATAATAATATGTACATTTGAATATACACATATGTATAGTAATAAATGATCAATAAATAATCAAAGATAACTAATTCGTAGTTAGAAATCACTAATTAATAAGTTCAGTTCAGTTCAGTTCAGCTGAGTTCAGTCAATCGGAACAGGCCCTAAAGGCTGACAGGCAGTCGACGATGTTGAATTTGGTTTGGGGGTTGAGGCCTCCGACATAGGTCGGTAGGGTTATCTCTCCGAGAGTTGCCATGCTTTCACCACTGAAACCGACCAGAGTCGTTGACCTCCTAGTGACGTCGCTATCTTTCAGCCCCATATCTTCCATAGCTCTTCTGAACAGGACGTTTGCGGAGCTACCTCCGTCGACCAACACCCTTCGAAGCAGACAATTCTCAACTAACAGAGAGATCACTAGAGAATCTTCATGTTCCCGATTGATGTTGTTGACGTCGTCGTCGTCGAAAGTAATGGCCATTGATTCTAATTTTTTCTCTAGGGGATCTCTTAGTTCGTCCGGAGCATCTGCATTTTCTACCGACGACTTTGCAATCCTCTTTGCTACAGAATAAGTTAGTCCACAAATATCGAAACCACCAGTAATAACATTAACTACTACCTTAGGTGCGGGCGGTTTTGGAGGCCCATTTGTCGTCTCTACTCTGGGATGACTGACATTGCTGCTCTACTTCTTCCCTAACAGGTGCTTAAGATTTCCCCTCTTCAGCTGGAAGGCTACTTCTCGTCGCAGGGCATAGCAGCCCTCTATCTTATGGCCATGGTCGCTATGGAACTCGCACCATTTGCTCATGTCTTTTTCCGACTCTGGCTTGTTGCTCTTCATCGGCCAGCGCACTTTGTTTCCCAAGGGCTCCAATTCTTTCACCACAGCTACGATGTTCACGTCGAACCCATACTCTGATATCTTGGGGTATTGCGGGGTGTCAAGGATTTGTTCTACCTGCACAACATTAACAGAGCGTGATCTACCTGATGCCTCATAGGGCTGATGTCACCACGACCTCCTTTGTTTGCTTGGGGCTTTGCATTCGGACGAACCTCTGACACTTGGGTAGGAGCTACAATTGGTGATGTCCTCGTCGAAACGCATCTGGGCCACGGCTCTCGTCCTGACTTCTTCGAACGTCGAACAGGGGTATTTGACCATGTCCTTGTACAGATCTGAATCTGTATGCAGTTCGCAGAGGAAGGCTTCGATGGCAGTTCTGTTGTTGACATTCTTGATTGAGACCTTCTCCTAGTTGAAGCGGGACCAATAGTTCCTGATAGTCTCCTTGGGCCCCTGGACAATCCGATACAGATCGCTTGTTTGCTTGTCGAACTGCCTGCTACTTTCAAAGTGGGAATAAAACTTGTTAACTAACATAGCGAAACTAGTGATACTACATGGTTTGAGTTTTCTGAGCCATTTAAGAGCGGGACCATTCAGCGTCGCGCCGAACGATTTGCATATGCATGCTTCCCAACACTCGAACGGGATTGAGGCTTGCCACATCCGCTCCTTGTAGTACTCAACATGCTGTTATGGACAGGTCGTCCCATCATAAAGCGACGTAAACGTCGGGAGTGACAATCTTCTGGGAATTCGGGCCATGGACAGCTCATCACAGAACGGGGTTGCCGCAAATCCATCTGGAGCTTCTCTTTGGACGGGGATCGGGACACCAGACATTCTCTTCATCATCGACAATACCTTGGAGTTTTGCTTCTCTAAGGCGACCATCCTCTGGAGCAGGATCTCGGTTTGATTTGGCTGCGGGTTATCCTGATCAGTCCTTGGAGTTCGGAGGTTTCCTTGCCCATTGTTCCTGATCGGAGGGTCAATATTCATCTCCCCGTCGTTGGACTCGGTGTCGGTGTTGTGCGGCGACTCGATGACATCCAATGACGGCATCCTTGGGATCAGACCTAATTGCCTCGGCCGGCGACAACGATAGCTCTGAGCTTACTCTAACTGTTGACGAAGATTGGTTGCATCGGACTTCGACGCTTCCTTTTCCTTGGTGAGACACTCGTTAGATTCCCTAGCTGCTTCAAGATCGGCTTGAGCTTTTTCATAGGCTTCTTTTAGCTGTTCTGGGGTCATTTCGTTGGGAGACATGTTGGAAGGTGGATAGGGATTTTATCTAGTTGTAGCCCCACGGTGGGCGCCAAATTGTTCATGCTAATTTATGTTAAGTGGGACTGAGCATCAAAATCTAGGCTACGGATCAACTAAATAAAATCAAAGATGAAATAGAACGAAAGCAATTAAATGAGACGAGGGATTGGTGACGTGAATAACCCAATGAAGGTAAAAACCGCGGGTAGAATGAGGATCTATTAAACTTTCATTATGAAGAAAAATATCAAGAATGGCAGTTTACAAGGTAGGTTTTTAGTAAGAGTATTGCTAAGCTTCATGTGTCCTTTGTTCGTCGATGTTTTCCCATTTATATAGATGATTGCTAGGTTAGATTCTAGCCGTTGCAAGGAGATAGGGTTGTTCCCATGATTTTCGGTCTGCAGTTGCATAAAATATTTTTTCTGTTTTGATTCTTAACGAGGGATAGGCTGAGCTTGGACTCTATTTATGTCTATCTTTTCCAGGAAAATAAGAGGCCGTTTCTTGACTTCGTCTTCCGTCTTTGCTAAAGATGCTTCGTCACATCCCTGCCTTCGTCAAGAGGAGTCTTCGACGTTGACTTTACTTGACTATTGTTGACTTTATACTTACAAATTTTTACCCATAACAGTGCTCAAGTAGGATGGCTTGATATTCCCTACAATAACAAATTTTAACACATAAATATATATATAAAAAATTATTTTAAAAAATTCAAGCAAACCGTGCATTGTCACGGGTTTTATGTAGTAATAATCTAGAGGTGAGATTATTAAGAGCGGACCTATCAAAGGTGGGGATTATTAGAATCAATTTTTGTATTTTTAAATACTCGGTATATTATTTAGAATAATTATTTATATGATACGATATTAGTTGTCTATAATTGAACCTAACAAATCGTTAAACGTTAATCAATTAGATTTCACCCCCTCTCGAGTTTCGACTCTCGCTGCTCCGTCAAAGTGTTATCAATCTGCCGCTACTTCTTTATGCTCTCTCAATACTTGTTGCACCACTACATTCATATTCATGGCGTCTGCCCTCTTCTCCAAAATTGTCTTTAACACTCGTCATCTTCATTCTTCTTCCCTCTCTCTTTTCCTTAAACCTCAATATTCACCTCAATTCTTCCATGTAAGCTTCTACTTTTCTTTATTTAATATGCCGATTTTTTTTTTTGTTCGGTTTTCAATAATTATTGATTTGTCACTTTCAATTCCGTTTTCTTGGTGTTTAAGATGAATTTCATATTCAATTGGGTAGATTTTTTTTGGTGCTTAATTTCTATGAATTTCATATTCAATTGGGTAGTTTTTTTTTTTTTTTTTTTTTTTATGTGCTTAAATTCTATTGATGTGGATTTAAATCCTTTAAACTTATAAAGAATTTTTTTTTTGACAAAAACTAATAAAGAATCTAAATATCACAATTCGAACCAATATCCGAGCTTGATAGGAAATTCGAACAATTTGAAGAACAACGAACCGGATATGACTTGTAATTCGACCACTCGTGGAACGAATTCAAGACTACTCAAATTACTTAGACTACTCCTAGAACTAAGTGTTTTGATGAACAGGACTTAGACTACTCCTATAACTAAGTATTTTGATGAACAAGACTTAGACCACTCCTAGAACTAAGTATTGAACGTTCTAATAATCAAAACAACTCCTTGAATTAAAAACTAGCAAAAGATTTGTGAAAATTTTAAGGTGCAGGCGGCTATACCTTGCTTGGTACAGCCAAAAAATGCAAAAAGAACATGTAACTATTTTGTAAAGAGCATACAACATATAGTTGTTTTGTAACGAATATCCAATTTTATATATTTTTTTCATATCTAAAGAACATCTGCAGTATTAATAAAGAACATGATAATATTATGTAATAAACTTTATCTATATATAACCACCCTATTTTGAAGACAAAATTTAATAAACATTTCACATTAAGCAATGATCATTATGTTGCAAATAAAGTACATTACACTGACTCATCAATGAACATAAACATATGTTCTTTTTATTTATTTTTTTGGTGCAAGTATGTTCTTTTCACTCTAGATATATGTTCATTACATTTTAATAGTATGTTATTTTTATTTTTACTTTAGGCATATGTTCATTACATTTTAATAGTATGTTCTTTTCACTATAACTATATGTTCATTACTTTTATATATCATGTTCTTTCCTACAAAACGACTATACGTTGCACCGTACAGACGCCTGTAGGAACTTGTATTGAATTTTCCGGTTGTGTGTGGAAGAAAGGCCACTACCAACCTCTATTTTATAGGCTACAATAAAGCATAGACCTTGGGCTCCAAGCATAAACCTTGGGCTCCAAGCATTAACCTATTAGAAGTAGGAAACTTCGCTTAGCTTGGTCTCCAAGTAAGAAACTAATTAAGAAAAACCCTTTCGAGTGAAAGGTAAAAACTTAGAAGCAAAACTCTAGAAAAACTATTCTTTGATAATCAAATAAGTGACCCATCCTTTTTTCCCTTCAAGTTCGAACCCTACTGGATGCAAAATCAATGTAATTGGCTCTTCAAAAGAATTACCCTCTTGATTCACATCATCAATGAATTTTATATTCAATTGGGTAGAATTTTGGTGGGCTATGCTCGGAACTCGTTGATTCGAATGCTAAATTTTGGATTTTGTATTTAAGTTTATCATCAATGAATGTAGCTTGATTAATAATTTGCATAATTTGTAGACAAGGGCTTTTGGTCTAAGGTCCAACGGGCTACTAGGTTGCTATAATTCAGTACCGCGAACTCGTTGGTTTTCGTGTGTAGTATCATCGATGAACTCTGGAGCAAAATCTTATTCTACACAGGCCATGTCTACAAGTGAACCTGTGGTTTCAGTTGAATGGCTTCATGCTAATCTCAGGCAACCTGACATAAAGGTACTTGCTTTAGATTTTATGTACTTAGCTTCAGGGGCGAAGCTAGGAATTCAAACCCTTATGTTGAAAATTCTATATAACTTAGAGTAAACAATCTTCATTGATTAGAGATTTGACATAATATATGACATATTTAGCCGATACTGATTGTTATGGTACAGCTACTACTTATCTTAATAATGGTATAAAAAAGATACAAAGTTATTTGAATTGTTAGTTTAACTTGCATTTTGTAAATTACAGTATATATTGCCCCCTTTTCATTTTTAGGTGGTGGATGCATCTTGGTACATGCCCGATGAGCAAAGGAACCCAATTCAGGAGTATCAGGTTGATTTTATATTAATTGTAAAATTATTATCTTGCTAAGTTTTATATATGTTGTCGTTAGTATATTGCCTACTTTATCAAGGTACATAACTCCTTAAGGTATTGTCTAGGTACATAACTCCTTAACGTATTGTCTATGTTCTCAAGTGAACCAATTTCTCTTATGCACAGGTTGCACATATTCCTGGTGCCCTTTTCTTTGATGTGGATGGCATTGCAGATCAAACTACACATGTAAGTTCTTATTTTACTAGTTAAAATTTATCTCAGTATCTGCTAGCTGGCTTTGGTTACATAGCAGGCTGAATTGTTGGAAAAAAACATGTATAATGTTTGTCTTGTTAATATGGCCTATGACCGACAGAAGATTATGGAAACAAAATTAATCAAGTAAATAATCTTTGTATGGTTAAACCTTTGGCATATAGCTAGTGTTTTAGGCTTCCTTTCCTATTGCCAAATTTTCTATGATAGAGGATATTTTTTTAATATTCCTTGGATAATTGAAAACTGAGATTGTAACTATGCTCTAGTTGCTGCTGCTTTTAGCTGGAATGCCTTGCTTCGCTCTACTGCTAGTGGAGACAACAACTAATAAGATTGACAACAGGAGAAGACCTTAGCTTTATGACTTTTCTGTTCATTTCCGAATTTTCTTATGACAAGTCCTAGCATTAGTATGAGTTCGTTGTTCTTTTAGTCTTTTTAACGGTACTTGAATCTTAAGTCGCGGTCATGTCTTGCCCTCCTCTAGTTTAGTGATCGCTTTCGTGTTTTCCCCAAAACCTGTACTGTGCCTATGAACTCATCTTAAGCTAAGGAAAAAGACTGAGCAACTGGCTACTCCGGTTAAGCACAACATGTACACAGGCGCAAAAGCTGAGGGGCTGTTTTATTTGGAATTATGCAAAGCATGAGGAAAACGGCCTTGAGATGGCCGTCTCTTTTCCCCCTACCGGTGGGGAATCCGCTTCCGGGTCGTCGCTCCCTATAAATTATGGCTAAATTGAGGTTGTAAAGTTGTGTTTGAAATGAGAAACTCTTGAATTTTGATTATGTTTTTTGTATTGTTTCAGCTACCACACATGTTGCCTGCTGAAGAAGCTTTTGCCGCTGCTGTTTCAGCCCTTGGCATAGAGAATAAAGATGGAGTTGTAGTCTACGATGGAAAGGGCATATTTAGTGCAGCTCGTGTTTGGTGGTGAGGACTGGAGTTTGTGTGGGAAATCCTTTTTTTTTTTTTTTTTTTTTTAAAAAAAATATTTATTTATTTATTTTGGGATTTACCCCTTAGTTATGGAAATAATGAATTATGTTTACTTGAATTTAAAGGATGTTCAGAGTATTTGGGCATGAAAGAATTTGGGTCTTGGATGGAGGTCTGCCCAGATGGCGTGCTTTAGGATATGATGTTGAATCCAGTGCTTCTGGTAATGCTATCTTAAAAGCTAGTGCTGCCAGTGAGGCCATTGAAAAAGCATATCATGGACAACAGGTACTTGTTATTTGCTTTTAATTAGTTCCCACCTACTCCATAATCCCAGTTATTGATACAGTTCCATAAAGATAATGTAAGGAGGAATTAGACAACCAGAAAAGGGTTTTCTAACTATGAGTAATGCACTTCAGACAGAATGATACTCAACAAAATAAATCTTTGATTCTGTGGCATATTGTATTATGTAAACTAAGTGTTTGAAGGTCACTGCATGTTTCAATCGGTCCATCCATTTTTGCTATAAAATGTTTCTCTCTAATCTCTTTCTCTTTTATGCTTTAATATATTGCTTTTTAAGAACCTTCAATGAATATTAAACCTCATTGCATTTGCTTTCCCAGGTTGGGCCAATCACCTTTCAGACCAACTATCAGCCTCATCTTGTGTGGACACTTGACCAGGTGATCTCACTAGCATACAAATGTTTTTGCTAATTTTCTTTGGTGATAGGTCTGTAGAATTCTGCAGTGCTGGATTTCTTTTGTGCAGATGGTTGTAAGTCTTGTAACGTAGAGTTGTTACGGACTTACAGATGTATTCTGTGGGGTATGGTTGTGAAAGAAGAAGCTGCTTAGGCAAAAATGCAGTTATGGCAAGAATTGCAGATTATATGGTTTGAGTAGAATAGTCTTATATTTAATGGTGTTGCTGTCCCATGTGCTGTATTGTGGGGTAAGATAAAATTGTTGGCTCTCTTATGGGCAGAGGTGGTAGGGGCTTTCTCAAATTATTTAATAGATATATAAACTTTAAAGGAATTGGGAAAACATGAAGCACTGTTTGTATGTTGATCCATGAAATCTATTTTTTATAAATAATCTATTAAAAATAGTTCAAATAAGTTTATAATTCACCCTTGCTGAAAAGTTTTTATGGACTTAATCAGTTTCTTAAAGAAGACGGTTCATTTAATCCTTAATTAAAGAGAGAGGGGAAAAATTATGCAAGTAACCTATGTTGCTTCCGTAGTTTCGCATACCATGTATTACTGTGTTAAGCACTGAGAAGTCATTCCATCTAAAAGAAAGTGACTTCATCGTTGTAACATCATTATGACAGATTGAAGTGATGTTTTTGAACTTTAGATGTTGTATATTGAACCCCTTCCTGTTTCTCATCCACTGTAGAAGTCCTACACTCCCCTAGCATGCTATCTATTCCCATGATGTAGGAAGGCATCACTATTCTCAGCGCATCTTGATTCTTGTATATAATTGGAAAAGAGGAAATAAAAAGTACTAGGCAATGTACTACATCGTCTACATATGTTGTGGCTACAGAGTAATAAGTAAGAACTCCTGAAATCTATCTTATGTCACCAGATAAATTGGATAGTAGTGAACCCCTCCTAGACAGTAAAAGAAGACTATCATAATGTGTGCTGGTTTGGTTAGTAACATTCCTTATCTATCATGCTTATAATGCTATAAAGACAATGCAACCTTGAACTAGCAAAATACAAGGTTTTATAACAAGCTCTGTCATTGAATTAAGTCTTGTGTTATATTGGGTACCATTTGTTTCTTGTTCATTTTTTATTTCATTTGATTGCTGATAGTTTCTTTTCTCAGGTGAGAAATAATATTGAGGAAAAGACATATCAGCTTATCGATGCTCGATCAAAGGCGAGGTATTGTATATTTGTCAATAATTTTTATATTTTTTATTGGCTCATATGATTGGAAGTTTGTTGTGAATAACTCTTTTGTTTGATATCAACTTGCACCCTTAAAATTTGAAGTATGTAATGGTCATTTAAAACATAAGTCTGTATTGTTCTTTAAAATATTGCCATGGTGAAAAAAAAAAAAAAAAAACAATTGGAAGTAATTTTGATCCTCTTTACTAATAAACAAACAATAAGTCAACAACCATGATGCACAATTTCTGCCAGGAGCAGGGTTCAAAATGTCGCCATGAAAACATAATGAATATCCAAGTTAAAATCTTCAGTGATTGCTGGTTAACTGAAGCAATGAAGCTTTAACATGTATGCAACAACAATCAACAAGCCTCAAAGTGTCTGCCATTAGTTATGTAATCTAATGTTCCTTGAAAGTTGGGATGCATAGTGGGGTCACACTTGTCTCATTGTTGTTGGCCCGTCACTTGTTCTTTCTTTCTTGTGGCAATAGTTAATGAAACAGCACCTTTGACCACAGACCTGCTAGAGCTCTAGCTACCACCTTTTGGTATGCGTCTCTTTCTTGTTCCTTTTTTTTTAAAAAAAAAATTCCGTACAAATATTGGGGCTCTTTATTTGTGTACCTTTCAATTTTAATCATGCACCGGGAGATAACTTCTTGTGAAAAAACAGGGTTTTATAAAAAGAACATCTCATCTTTATTCAAACACCTACAGTTCAAAATAATTTGCAAGAAAATATAAAAAGTATAACATGCAGGTATAGCTAAACAACATTCACTTGGAGAATGATGCCCAAGTATGCCCTGGGTAACACAATATTATAATTGAAAAAATTTGAGAGAAAATGATTAGGGATTTGGTATATGCTGTGATGTTTTCTGGTAGGGTTACATAACTATGTTCTGAATATTCAATTCAGCTAGTTAACTAATTAAACATTTTACATTATTTACTTTATATTGACATCCTGATAGGAAGTGATGTCCTTAATTAAACAAGAAATCCTTCTTTCCGAGCATAGAGTTGATAATAATATTTATGTCTCTCCAGGTTTGACGGAACTGTTCCTGAGCCACGAAAGGGAATCAGAAGCGGTCATGTGCCAGGAAGCAACTGTGTTCCTTTTCCCAAGGTGCAAATTTGTATATACAAGTAATTTGTAAAAAATAAAAGTATTGGTTGTATTTACCATTGCTACAGTTGAATAAAGAAGATCATCCATTTGGCTAACAAGAGCATCATGTCTATCAAATGTTCTGTATGGTTGATAATAAAGTAAGCTTCTTGATGTTCTGCAGATGTTAGATTCATCAGGAACTCTATTATCTGGTGATCAGCTGAAGGAAAATTTTGAACAAGAAGGTTGTGATTATCTTGTCTTTCTCAGTCTATATCTAAATCTTGTGACAAAAGCTTTTCTTGATGCCATAAATCTCCTAATATTGCTTTGAGATACTATGTTTTGGGCTTTCAGTAACCTTTTGGTACAAGAATAACCTCAATTGTATACTCCGTTATTCATTTGAATAGGTTATCTTTATTAGTGTGGTTCTCAGGATGACTCAGCACTATCCTTTGCCCAAAAAGTCAAAATCTTGTTATTAACTTATGCAGGTGTTGTTGCATGACAGTGTTGTGTGTGTGTAATCTGTGTATGTGCGTGCCTGTACGTGTGCGTGCGTGCCTGTACGTGTGCGTGCGTGCGTGTGTGTTATGTAATGATAGGATACACTTTGATCTTTCAAGACATAGCCTACGCATGCACCAAGTGTGGTGATCTTTTTTAATCTTATATCGTCTTTTCGGCATACACAATTTTCTTATTAGGCAGAACCTCATGGTTCAGAGTTTAGATGTATGGGGAGTGGTTTAGTAAATGAAATTCTGTTTGGAACAGTATTATTGTCCCCTCATTTGTGAAGAGGAGCATCATCTAATTTCTGGTTTACTCTCTAGATGCCATCTTGGTTGTCAAAATGCAGATTTGTTACTTAGGGATGAGCTAATTAATGAGTAGTAGAATCGTGTGGCTCTTTCCTTTGACCCTTGAGGCCTTTTTGTCCATATATTCTGTTGATCTGGCTATCATTTTTCCATTGCATAGTGACAAGAGCTGTCAAGAATCAAAATGTAATTGACCTTTAGGTTGAGATGTTTTTAAAAAATAAATAATTGAAACCTTGCAATTGCATTATCTCTTATGCACTCGCTGTTCTTAAAGATCTTATTTTATCTGCATTAGGTGAGATTTTGGTGCTGTCTAAAATAGTAAAATTGCATTTGCTTTTGGATTTGTAAATGGATAGGTTGCTCTTTTGATCTGTATTCTAATATTTGTTGTCTATTCTGTTTATCTTTTTGGTGGAATTTTTTGTTTATGCTCTGAAAAATTTGCAAGCTTTGCTCTTCTATCTGTTAGAATTTTAAATTTTAAGGCTTGGTCTTGTGTCATGCTGTTACTTTCTTGACCTTTTTTGTGTCCCTGATTCCTTTCTGAATCTACATGTTCATTTAAAGTCATGCTTTTGGTCACACTATCCATTATGCATGTATATGGCCAGAAATTACATAGTTTGCCTAGGTTGTGGGTAGTTATGTTGAACAAGAACTTCTTTGTCAAAATCAATTCGTGCAGCCTTACCTACCTGTAATTTTGTCATGGTTTTAATCTTTTATCTATTCTTACATGTACAGGGATTTCTTTGGATCAGCCCATTGTGACATCTTGTGGTACAGGCGTAACTGCCTGTGTTCTTGCATTGGTGATTTCTCTTTCCCTTCGATGCATATATCATAATGATGCAAGAGAATAGTTGTGGACTTGTGGCTTGTCCGGCTATTTCTTTGAGTAGCATCATTTTTCTGTAAAATATAGTAGACAAATTCGGTCTAAAACAGCGAAGATGTGGTAATAAATTCAGAAATGCAGTGCTGGCTAACAACTGCACCTTTCTTTTTCAGGGTTTGCATCGACTTGGGAAAACTGATGTAGCTGTTTATGATGGCTCGTGGACGGAGTGGGGTGGGAATTCTGACACCCCTGTTGAGGCAGCGGCTTGAGTGTTTGGATAACTCTCAGAAGTGTATTTGAAGACTTGATCAATAGTCTAATTGATGAACTTTCCACCCATTTCCCCTTGGTTCGTAGTACAGAATTACTTTTTGTAACCTAAAAGACATAATGCATACTTTAAGTTTGGTTAGTCTTGAGAGTTGGGTTATTATTTAAAAATCTTTTCAACAATCTGATTGATAAGAACTTTTTTTTTGGGTTGAGGCAAGAAGGCTTGTTTTTATATATTTATATTGAATTGAAATCATTTTTAATATTTCCCCAATACAATTACTAATTTTTAACGAATTGAAATTATTTTTTGAAGGTAAAGAGAAGAGATCTAATGATTGAAAATAACCGGAATATGACTTATAACCTGAATATGACTAGCATGACGGGTTGAATATTGATGGGTCAGAATATTAATATGATCCTACAATTTTTATTATCCTTTGATGTAATTCTACATTTAGTAAAACGTTGACATCAAACACGATCTTTATATTAAATAGATTTTTTTTTACTTTTATTTATTTATTTACTGTCATATGCTCATACGAAGTATGTTATAAGTATTCAACTATGGATTCTCGCCTATTATTATCACAATTTTTCACAAGGGTTGATTCTTCCCCTTTTTTCTTCCCTTGTTGGAGGGTTTTTGTTTATGGTCATGTTTGGTAGTAAGCTTATTGGGGGTATATTAGCTTTATTTGACTAATTTTAGCTGATTGACTAGTCAAACAAGCTAATACAAGTGTTTCGTAGTAAGCTTATTGAAAGAGCTAATTCCACTAAATAAGCTCTTTTTGAAAAAGTTCATTTTAGGAGTTTTTTCAATTAGCATATTCATTAATTATTGTGAAATGACACTTATAACCTCATTTAATTTAAAATCCTATCTAAACTACCTACCCCACAATTAGCTTATTGGTCATTTCACATACTCAATCACCTTTAAGCTATCAGCTATTTACCAAACACTTTTATATAATCAGTTAATACAATAAGTTAGTCAAATCAGTTAATAAAATCAGCTAGTCAAAATCAGCTAGCTCAATCAACTTCAGCTTTCTCCCAAACAAGGCCTATATATTCTCCCTCCGTCTCTTTATTTTTGCTCCATTGTCATTTTTTGGGTCAAACTTTGACCGTATATTACTGTTACCCTACTACCTCCGGTTCTTGTTACCTGCAACTTTGGGAGGTATTGTGAACTTCTAGGCAAACTTTTTAAGGAAGGTTCATGAATTGTATGGGTGTGTAATTAGGAGAGATAAATTGAAGGGAATTGTTGTGGTCCGCTAATGACTTTAAGGAACCACTTGTACTTTTTTTTTTTAGTGGGAAGTTCTTGATTTTGGTATTTATACCCCGCCAAGTGGATCAATGAGAGGGTGACACATGTCGCTCTAAGAGGTGTCCAAATGGACTCCCCAGATGATGACATGTGTCACTCATATATGCTCCCTGGGAATGACGGCCTTCAAGGCCCAAATCCCAAGGTGAGCCGCAAAATGGCGCTGCTCTAATTCCTAGGTCATCAAATCCTAGGACAGGGCACATTTTTCTAGGACCCTATAAATAGGGAGATTCCCCCACTAATTGGGAAGCTTTACAAACTTGAACTTTACGTCTTAATCATTAGGAAATTTATTGCTCTTGAAAACAGAGAACACCTGATCTCGGAATCCGAGAAGATACTTATTTTCCGCACGTTTTTCTACAAATCCGTACTAACTTAATCTTTGGAGGCGGACCTCCGACAATTCGGAGCTCCGTATGTTTTGCAGGTGCAGGCGCCCTTGTCGGATCCATTCTTCGAGTCGTAACTCTCCCGAGGGACATAAAAATACCCGAAATATTTGGCGCCGTCTGTGGGGAGAGTACCTCAAAGATGGCTTCAGAAGATCTACCTGTACCGCCTCTAGAGAACAACGGTCTTTGGAAAATGTAGAGGTCCAAACGGACCATGACTCTGGTGACAATGGAGACATCGAAACCTATGTGGCCAACGATGGGTCCTTCATCTCTAAGCGCATCCGTCATAAATACAAGCGGAAGCGCAATGCTGACCAGGCAGGTACAAGCAGGCCCCCTAGACAGACGAGCAAGCTCTCAAGGCAGCCGGCTGACCCATCCCAGGCGATGGGATCAACCCCAGTCACCCGAGATGAGCTCATGAAATCAAAGACTTAATCACCAAGCGGCGGCTGCTCCTAGGAAGGAACAGTCGGCCAAAAACCAGCCCAGGCAGGAAAGCACAAGTCGGTCAGGGACCGTTAGCTGACTCCTCATCCTGCTTCAAAGGAGAAGGCTCGACCCCAAATCGACCTCTCGAGACTCCATTTCCTTGAAACGGAAACATGAAAGGCCATCCGGCATGTAAAACCATATAGTAGGAAAAAGACATTCTCTGATGCTCGACTGTACATTGAGAAAAAGAACCAGCAGCTGCCAGAGTCAGCATCCACGTCGACTTATCATGATAGCTTTAAGAATACCTCGGTGAGGAATTCCGAATCTGTGCATGGGACCCTGTCAAGCGGCCCACTCGTCAAGTCGGGATCCTATGTAATCAACTCGGTGCAATATATGGCCCAACCATTATATAGGCCGACTGCTTTGCCTTACATTCAACATACCTTCTTAGAAGGACAGGCGACATATAATTACCAGCCTATGGAATGGAAGCTTCGGCTACAAAACCTTGGGGAACAACCCTCTGCGTTCTCCAGGGAAGTAGCGGAGGCCGAATAGCCGGCCAAGGTTAAAAATGTGTTTGTTGGGACCTATGATGGTACCGCTAACCCAGAAGACCACCATTTGGCATACACCCACCTCATGTACTTCCAAGGGTTGGATGATGCTGCATGGTGTCGTTGCTTTCCAGCTAACCTGAAGGGCATAACTCAACAGTGGTTCGACAATCTTTTGGCTGGTTGTATCAATAGCTTCAAGACACTTGCGTTCTTGTTTTCTTCCAACTTCTCTATGAACATCCCCTTAAAAGAAAACAAGCCTTGATCTAGGCAATGTGCAGCAGGGGGATAGAGAAGGGCTGCACTCCTACGTCAGGTGGTTCAATCTGGTGGGAATCCAGATCTAAGGACTGTCTGAGGAGGTGGCTTATACATACTTTTTCATAGGTCTGAAGGACGGATCGACCTTCAAGTTCGAACTCGTCCACAAGAAAATCTTCACCCTCCAAGGAGCCTTGATGGAGGCGGTAACCTATATACAAGCGACTGAACTCTGCTCCTCAAATAAGCAGTCGGACTCCAAAAAGTCTGATAGGTAGAAGGAGAGTCGTCCTGCTTAGATGCCACTAAAACCAGAAGAGAGAAAAAAGAAAAAAGAGATCTGGGCGGTTGATAACTCCGATCAGTCGGCCTAGAAGAAGAAAAAAGAGTGGAAACCGTACGTTCCAAGGTACAAGTTCAACAAGGACAGCTACTCCATCCTCATAGAGATAAAGGCTCAGTTGACTCTAGAAAAGTCGAGTCCAATGAAAGGTTCTGCTGAAAATTGGAACAAAAACAAGCACTGCCATGACCATGAGGATGTCGGCCATGACAACAACGTCTGCTTTGGCCTCAAGCGGACGCTTAATCGTCTGGCCGACAAAGGGGTGCTGAAATCCTATATGAAGTCTAAAGTGACTTCCAAGGCGAATCCGGGGTAGTCTAGCAAAAAGACTCCCCAGCCTACTGGTAGTTCCGAAACCGATAAGGAGGAGGTCTACACAATATCAGGCGGATTCGCCGGTGGTGGCCCGACCATGCGCACCAAGGACCATCTTAGAAAGATGGTCCACTCTGTTGAAGAGGGACAGGCGGCTAGCACATTCGCCTTCCCTGAAGTCATCATCACCGAAAAAGGCAGAGGCAAAGTCTGTCGACCGCATGCTAATGACCATGTGGTAATAGAATGTATAGTGGTAAATCAAAAGGTTGGCCGCATATTGATTGACATAGGAATCTCCTTAGACATCATCAGTCGCAAATGTCTATCCAACCTCAAATACAGGTTGGATAGCATGATGGATGTCTTCCATTACCTTGTTGGGTTTGGGGGAGGAGTTTTGCACACAGTTGGACGGATAGATCTGCCTGTTTGCCTGGGAAAGAAAGGAAGCGGTCGGCACATGACCATCGAATTTTTGGTGGTCAAAGAGCTGACCGCCTACAATCTCATTCTTGGCCGACCAATTCTTAACGAGTGCAAGGCCTCATCATCCCTTCCCTCATGATGGTCAAGTCTGAGAGCAATAATGGAACTGTTGGCTCCTTAAACGGGGACCATAAGACGACTCGAGAGTGTTACCTCTCTGACGTCAAGCCCGCGACAGCTGCACCCGGTCAGGGAAAAGAGCCAATAGACCTTGATTAAATCAAGGATGACCATCCAACTCAACCAGCCGCCAAGAAAAGAAAAACTGATCAGCTGGTGGTGGTCAAGAAAGAAAAGCAATAGCAATCACTGACCGGGGAACGGTCAGATGATCTTCGTCCCTAGCCAATTGGAGAGCACATTGATATTCCCCTGGACGATAGTCGTCCAGAGCGAAATGTTAAGGTGGGGGATGGCTGCTTTTGCTAAGTTTAGTGCAAGATTGCACCATCTGCTGAAAGAATTCAAAGACATCTTTGCCTTTGAAGTGGAGGAGATGCCGGGCATCAGCTTGGATCTTGCTGTCCACAACCTCGTCGTGGACCCTAAACAAAAGCCTATTCGACAAAAGAAAAGAAACCATGGCGAGAAAAGAAGCAGCAGCCGCCGAAGTAAAACAGCTGTTAGACGCCAGGTTCATTTGGCCCTGTAACTTCCCTGATTGGGTTGCGAATGTTGTGCTGGTAAAGAAGCCGAATAGTACATGGCGCATGTGCGTTGAATATATTAACTTAAACAGAGCATGTCCGAAGGATAGTTATCCACTCTCAAATATCAAAAATCTGGTCGACTCTACAGCCGAACATGCCCTGATGATTTTTATTGATGCCTACTCAGGCTTCTACCAGATTCCTCTGTGGAAAAAAGATCAAGAAAAGATGACATTCGTTACTGATTAGGGGTTATTCTGTTATACTTCGTGTTGAGTGTCATTTATGGCACTCTTAGGCTAGGTTTTCTTTATATTTTTATACTCATTTTAGTCCTTTATGTCGTGTTTTTATATAATAATGCTTGTTTTGAGTGTTTGTGTGTAAGTTTAGAGAAATGCATACTTTTAATAGTTTTCTTGTCATTTTATTCATTTCTCGACTATTTCTC